TCCTTTTTTTCCCAGAAATCTGCTAGAAGTGTGTAGGAGCAGGCAATGGTGTGGACAACTTGAGTTAACAGCTTGCACTCCCTTATCCTTTCTCCAAGGTCTTATAATCCATCCTCTGTCGTGTGAGTGGTTGTAGTGTCAGCTGCTCCCATGCGCTTTCTCCTTTGTCGTGTCATATGCGCTTTATCATGTGTTAACCATACACCAACCATTTGACAGAGTTGTTGGGGTTTTGGTCCTGAGGGATGCACATATGGGAGAAGAAAGGGATATGTGGCATTAGATTGCCTTCAATGATACTTTGTGGTTTGCGGTAACCAAAGGGATCCTCACATCTGCCGTAAATCCACGAACATTCGTTGCATGGTAGTGATTTCCAGTGACAACTGATAGGTGCCGGTTTAGAAACGAAAGGCCACAAATCACATGGGCTGATGCCATTTTTTAAAATATGTTTTTAGCAGAGAATTCACTCTTAAGAAAACATTTTGCAAGTTTGAGTAGTTTACTTTGTCTTTTTCTTTTTTTCCCTCTGCAGCAGGTCCATGGCTCTGTTTGTATACATAGTCTGGTGATGGGTAAAGTTACCCGTAGTTGGTATTGAAAGTGGGAGCACGCTCAGAGGAAAAAAAGAGAATTCAGAGGACTTGGGTTGTAAAGCACAGCAGGGAGGGGGCTCGACGAGCAAGGCTCAGTGCACTTCACTGCGTCCCAGCGTGGGTTTTGATGTGGTATGTGCTGGATTAGGATGTAGGTGTTATGAAACAAGTCGCTGAGTTGTGATCTGTTTTCTGTATACCTGGCTATCTCTGTCATGAAAAAGTTCACCCATGGGTCAGCTGCAGTTCTGCTCTTCCTCATGTGTGCCAGGCTGGTTCTTGACATTTTTCATACGTGTTAGAAGGCTTCTTCCACTTTCTTACAGACTTAAAATGGGGGTATATTATTTTAAAGTGAGTTATATTGGAGTTGCCTTCTTATTTTATGGGCATGCTTTTGTTCATCCTCTTTTCCAGACTTTTGCTCTTTAAAGACCTCTGATACTTAGTGCACTGAAGAGTCTGTTTAGTATTCGCCTCTGCTTAGAATCATGTTTGGGCTTCAGTACCTGTAACTTTAAACGCGTTGGTCGCAATGGCTCTTAGTCTTTAACTTCACTTTTCTCATAGTTGTATGCAGGTATTGGTCTTTTGATCATGTAGCTTCAGGATGGTGTATTGCAAAGATTTTACAAATTACGCTGCTAGCAGAATTTTTCAATGCTTTTTGGTTATTGAAAACAATCCTGAAGAAAGTCCTCTTATCTATGTCTTATATAACAATATAATCTTACAAGGATGCAAGTCATATGAAGTCATAAGACCTTACCAATTAATGTGTACTAGAGTTTTGTGTATCAGAACTATGTTTCCACCTGGAGTTTCAGTTTTGCTCTGCAGACTGCATGTAGCATTATAGTCTTGGCCACAATTGTGCAGAATATTTAGCAATGCAAGGATAAAATCTCTGCTCTGTCATAAGATAATGTGTTTCTCTTTTCTTTCTGTGGTCTTCTCTGTTTCCTTCCTTTCTGCTGTCCATCCAAGTCATTAAATTTAATTTCTCTGTAATTAAAATAAGTTATGTTCTGGATCCATATGAAGGATCACTGTTCATGACTTAGTTCTGTCCGCCACTTATCCATAAGACTGTTGAACTTTATAGATGTTATATTTGGGGCCACTAGCACTTTGAAAAGGCAACCTTATTACCTTGAATTTCCATGCAGCATACTGCGTATGGTGTTGGCATACTTTATGAGTTACAAGAGCCTTAGAAAAAGCATGAATATCCCAGGTTAATATGAGAAACATGAGTAGGGCTCCTTAGCAAGTGTTGTGGTTTGACCTGAGAATGGCTTGTACAGGACAATTTGTTGCTTGGTAGTTCCAAATGAGTTATTGACACTTGTCTGGGTTGAACGGCCTCAGTCACTAAGAACCTGTGGTCATAAGCAACCATGTGACTGATGATAAGTCCAGGAGAGTTTATAGGGTGTAACCATAGTCACCTTCTTGTGCAAGAAGTCACAAGACACGTTTCAACATCCTACAAGAGTTTTCAGACCTTAAAGATAAAATACCAGCATACACAAGCTAATACTACTCAAAGAAGTGGTGGTTATTTAAATTGGATAGATTTGTAATAGTGAGTCTAGCTAGTGCTATATAAATAGTATAGCACAGTTCCCTTCTCTTTTTAATGCCTATAAAAAAAATATTTTAAAAGTTAATTTTTCAAAATTGCAGATCAGGCATAAAATCACAAGAAGTATTTAAAGCATAAAATTCCCAAAGTAATGTTGGATTTGTAGCATTTTCAGTACTTGCAGCCATATTCCTAGATGGGACAGGATTTTGCTAGATTTTCTGGGCACATCCATGCTAAGTGCAGGAAACCTGGCCATTTGGATGATGTTTTCAAATCTTGGAAATTTTGGGCTTTGGTGCTACTTTGAGAATTTCTGCGTGTCACCTTCTGTCCTTTACAGCTGAGAGCATACCAGCCATTGCTAGGATATCCCTGAACTTCTTGATCTGCTGCTGCCAAAAAACCCGTCTTGTGGTCTTACATGTTGTACTGGGGCAATTTTTCCTCAATTCTCTCTGGGCCATGGAGACCATCCAGGTGCTCACCAGCCTGGGGATCATAATCTCACACTTTGCATCCAAGACTCCAACCTACTATATCTTTTTTCACGTTTACTTTTATTAAAAGCATTCATTAGCTTAAGTCTTTGCCATAACAGAGTGCTCTACTGATATAAGTCCCGTTTTTAAGGCTGATACCGCTTCGTATTTTATTTTATTTTATTTTATTTTATTTTATTTTATTTTATTTTATTTTTTGCATAAAGAGCCAGTTAGGATCAGAGCCCCATTGAACCAGGCTGCGGAAAAAAAGAGTAAAGGTATACTTTTGCCCTGAAAACATCACAGTCTAAATAGATGAGAGAGAATAGAAGAAATAGATACAAATACATAGCTGCAAAAAAGGGTAGATTTTTGCAAGTGGTGTCTAAAATATATTTTCTTCATACCAATTTTTTTTTCTTCCAAGTGTCTTTTAGGGTTTTTGATGGTTAGTAGATGCCTGGATTTAGAGTGAAAAATAAAATTTCTATGTTTGAGGCCATATTATCATTATACTCATTTTAGTGTCTGTACAGCATCAGCATCTGAGACTGCAGGAACTTAACTGCTTTACTTGTTGGCATTACACCGAACTTGATTTTGGTGAACCATAAAAAGTTTGGCCCTGAAGGTAAAATTACACTGTATGCATGTTCCTAACATACTGCTTTGGGGATAAACATGGCTTAAATCAACTCATCGCTCACAGCTAAATTCCTTCTCCAAATGCAGTTTCCCTGTAGATAGTAATGTTCAGTAAGACTTATTTTCTTTAAAACCATAAAGTTTTTTGAACATAATTCTATCAATAACCATATTTGAGCAGGGTAGCAAACAATTCACGTAATGCTAATAAAGATTTGGGGGTTTTGTGAAAGGAAGGGAGGGTCACACACCAACATCTTTAATTAGCTTTCATCAGTACCTCTAATTTGTTCAAATGTGTTCCAAACGTTTGCATATTGTGTTTGCTCACATGTACATAATGAAAACTTTTGGACTTCATTGAAACTTTATTTGGTAATTGTGCACTTGGAAAATTAAAATTGAAGTTTATGATACCCTGGCTCCTACTTGCTCAGTTCATAGTGCGTTGTTAAGATGCCATCACTTGAGAGCTTTGTTACAGCGACGTCTCTGTTGTGGCTTAATATGCTGTGGGTTCAGCTGGCTGTAATTGTGGCCTTGAGGGGCTGGACTAAAGAATACCAGCTGGGTTTGTACCCAGATACTTTTGGATTAATACTTTGGGACTTAGATCTTGTCCTGTCTGGAATTTAAACATAGTTCCCCAAGCTTTAAAGGGAAGGCAAGCACCATTTGAGGCTCTTAATGACCACTTTTTCCCTCTTTAATTTGTCTTTTTTTTTTTTCTTTTTCCTGCCTTTTTTTTTAAAAAAAAAACTCCTGTAGCCAGTGAAATCCAGGCAGTTACTTCCTAACCATTTTTACAGCCTCATATGGGCAAAGAGCTTTAGTTTGTTCCTCATCTTAATTCCCAAATTAATAATAGTTAGAAAGTTCTTATGTCTGCATCTCCATTTTTCTTGAAATATATAAGGGTGAAAATAAATTTCCCTAGATATTAGGCAAGCCTTTGAAGTGTGAACAACTTTGTTATATTCGAGACAGCAAGTCCTTCATTACGACTAGGTTGATTTTTTTTTTTTTTTTGGTTGCTCTTTGAAATAATTCCTTTTGTTTCAGGTCTAAAATTTCAATTTTATTTCTACATGGAGACAAGAGACTTAAACTCCCCCATAGCGGGGAATCAGTCAGGGTTTTTCTTCTATTTAGAAACCTTTGACCCATCCCTCCCCTGTTCAGTGAATAGAAATGGCAAGGCAACTTGTGCTGAGGGTGACTAAAGATCTGCTCTCCGTGTAGCTCATGAAGTGAACCTGCAGGGGAGAGGGTTTCAGGAGTCCTGCTTATGGAAAAAATGCTTTTAAAGTATTTCTTTGCAAAAGAGAGCCTTTCTTGTACCCCTGAGTATATATTAATTGGTTATAATCCTTAGTTTTGAGGCACATAATTATTCACACAGCAGCACATGATGGAATCACAGGTACAGTTATAATTTCTTTGTACTGGCAAGCAGCCTTTTCTGAGGGACAGAGAAGGCCTTTTTGTGTAATGCTTCAAGTTCTATAATTAGTGGTATAGTAAAGAATTCAGATAAGTGGCAAAACATATACAAGTGCTTAGAAGTTCAACCAACTAGCCTAGAAGTTGTCTGCCTGGATATGTAATTTCTGTGTGGTTTAATGTCTGTCTGCATTTCTTCTTAACCTTTTTGTTGGGTTTTTTTTTTCTTTTTTCTTCCAGATCATTACAAAATACGTTCATGAACTACTGGAAAAGGAATGCCACTTGAAGAAAGTAACTCTCCCAGTAAGCATAAATTTTATTTTGTCCTAAAGGTGTTGTTTGTTTGGATCTGTAAAAAAGCAGAGCCTTCAATCCAGTATTCAGATGAAGACAAAGTGTGCCAGGGCTCTGTGCAGGGTGCTGTCTCAGGACACTGCCTTGGCATACAGCGTGTGCGTGCATCTGGAGATGTGGTTCCACCTCACTTCTCCTGTGTTTGATTTCTGAAAGCTGAGCTCTCATTGCCTTACCAGATACCAGAATTTTCAAAATATGGTAGTTTTGATAGAGGAACTGTAAGCTTTTTGAAAAGTATTTGTGAATATTATGAGATCTCTGCAGCTGGATGTAGAGAACAAATGTGCCTTTACAGCCAGGAATGAACTTAAATTCAGTTTCAGTAAACTACTCTAAGCCTATTTTTTTAAAACACACTTTTTCAGTAGCTTATAACATGTATGTAATATGAGGTGTTGCTTAGTGAAAATGTTTGATCAACCCTTGGAAGCGATGAAGCATTCCCCAAAGAACACGGGTGAGAGTGTTTGTAAATACATGCAATACCATGATGTTGTTCAGGTATTTTTGTATTCTGTAGTGGAGACTGTAGGGGAGACTGTAGTGTGACAGCACCGTGTAGGTTTTCCGTCACTACCATAAAGGATTCTTACGGTCTTTTAGAAGCTCTTGCATTACTGTTGTTCTCAGCCAGTTCTTCATATTCAGTCAAAACCCATTTGGGCTAAGGAAGGAAAATGTCCTTTGCTTTAGCAGTTCTGTAACATTTCACAGTTCCCATTTCCATTCCCTGAGTGCTGGTTCAGGAACGTTTTGATAACCTGCCCAAACTACTTACGGTTTCCCAGCCAAGCTTTGCCAGTGTCTCCTGGTCAGGGCAGAAGGAGCTGTGCTGGCAGCTCCACGGAGCAGTCGAAGGGGGAGCAGCAGCTCTCTTCTGCACTCCCAACCTGCTAAACCACGTAAGCCATGCCGATGCCCCAAGACTTGAGAGCACTGGAGAAAGCATTTCCCAGCTTCAGACTTCCCTGGGTAGACAGAGAAGAGGATTGGGTTCATGGTGGCAGTCTGCCTGGTGCGATGCTGGCCGTGGTCTCTGGAACTTCTCTGGACAGCTGGTTTTCTTTGTCGGGGAAGTTTTGGTCCAAGGACTACCTCCGTGTTCCAGACAGGTAATGTGTTGAAAGGCTTCCTCAAGCCATGTATTATGTAGTGAGCACTGATGTAGTTTGTCAGTAGTACTTTTAAGCTATTCTCAGATATATTATTTCCAGCTTCTGCAAATTGTCATAGTTTAATTGCATTTTGGAGCAAAGTAAGAGCTCATAAAATATATGCAGCTGTTTATTTGTGAGTGGCGTGGAAAATTTAGGACAAGGTATGAGCACTGTTCTTCAGTGATGATTATTATGTGTAGGAAGCCCTCACTACAGTCAAAAATAGGTTATGAAGAGGACTACAAAAATGAGAAAAATGAAACAATGTATGTAGAAGGTGAAAAATTTAATCTGTCTAAAGGCTATGTTTAAATCACCACTGACAGACTCCCAAGTAACAACACAAAGAGACCCAGTTTAAACTGGTAAAGGAGGTTAATAGAAGTGATGAGACCACTTGCAGCAAGAGTAATTCCTGTGCAAGTGAGGAAAACAGAAAAGAGTATAAATGCTGGCAAGGTACATATAAAGTCACAGTAAGGTCACTCAAAACTGAATTTGAGGAGCTTGTTACAGCTGTAAAGGCTAATAAAAAAAGAGAGCTGATGAAGGTGATAGATGAACTGCATGCAAAAGGAATGCTCAGCTCAAATGAGAAAAACTAGCATGGTTCTTTCCAATGTTATCTGTCCAGTTTCCACACTTGACTATTATTAATTTTTTTTTAAACAGGATATAATTCTGAGGAACTGTCTGAAATTTGACATATCAGTAAAGGAGATCTTAGAACAAATTGATATGTCATATAATAATCAAATTCCAGGATGAGATGGTTTTTAAGCCCAGGGTACTAAGAAGTCAAATACGAAGCTGCAGAACAGCCAACTAGTATGTAACTTACTGCTGAAATCAGCTATTTTCATCAAAGGAATGGAAAAAGAGTAAATGTGATAGTCTTTGAAGGGCCTCCAGGAGTGATTCATAGTGATTCCTGTGTACCAGGAGGAAATAATATATTGAAGGAAAAGTCAGTACAGGTTTCTTTTTAAAAAACCTGCTAGAATTCATTGACGGAGTCGGAGATGACATGAAAAAGAAAGATCTTGTCAGTAAAAGAGTACATGGATTTCCAGCGAGCTGTGAACAAGCTTACCAAATGCTTTTAAAAAAGCCACTGTCATGGCATAGGAGGAGGGAGTACCCTTATGAGTTAATAATTGGTTAAAAGGAAAAAAAGGTGTTCATATTTTACAGATGAAATAAGCTGTTACTGGTGCAGTGTTATTAAGGTCTGCACTGACATAGTTATGAATAAAAGGAAAAAAGGAATTAATAGAAGCTAACAAACTTTGCTGTTTTTTTTCTAACATTATTTAAAATCCTTAAATCTAAAGCTGATTGTGATGAGTTGGGAAATATTTTCATGATGCTGAATGATTGGACGATAAAATGACATGAGATTCAATTCTGGTAAATGTGAAATTATGGGGAAAATAACTCACTCTGTAAACACAATGGTGGCCTCTAAATGAGCTATTACAACTCAGGAAAGAGCTTGGAGTGATCGTGAATAGTTCTCTGAGAACATCAGTTAGTGCTCAATGGCAGTGAAAAAACCCTCAAAGCAAATAGGATGTTAGGAATTATGAGGCGTTGAGAACAAAACAGAAAAACATCGTCATTCCACTCATTATGTGGGCCCCCATCTTGAACACTGCATGGAGTCTGGACACCATATCAAAAAGGATATGAAGAATTAAAAAAAAAAATACAGAGGAGGGTTACAAGGATGATCACAGGCATGAAATGCTTTTCAGACAAAGAAAGATTAGACAAAGATTCTTCAGCTTGGAAAATAGATGACTGAGGAAGGAATATGACAAATCTATAAAATCATGAAAGGTGTAGAGAAGATGAATAGGGAATGGTTTTTTGCTTTTTTCATAATAGAGAAGCTAAGGGGCATCAAGTTTAAATTATCAGGCAGGAGATCTGTACTGAAAGAGTGGCAGTACTATTTCATATACGTCCTAATTATATTGTGGAACTCATCGCCACAGAATACTATCAAGGAGAAAGGTAAAAATGCATTCAAAAAAACCATTTGACAAATCTAAGGTGGGATAGGTGCATTGAACTATATTGTACATGCTTGTCCACTTATAAACTCTGGCTCAGGAGGCTCCAAAGTTACAGGTTGCCAAAACCAGGGAAGAATCACTCTATAACCACTCTGTTCTCATACAGTTCACCTAAGCATTCAGCCAGCTGTTAGAAACAGGACCCTGGGACCTTGATCTGATGGATCTTCTTATGAATATGACCTTACTATATGAACATTTTAGGGGTGAATACGAAAACGTGTTTTTTCTGAGTTTTGTCACAGGTGATCTGAAAGTTGCTGTATTGGTTTTCCTTTTTCTGTTAGCCGATAATGAAGTAGACAGTGTAACGAATATATGAAAAATGTGTTGAGGAGTACTTTTTTTTTTTTCAGCATGATTTTAGAAGTGTGCAGAAATGCTGTGCTTCAAAGGTTTAGGATGACAGCATTTCATGTCTCTCATCTTTCTTAATTTCAACTTCATGTGCAAAGTCCAACTTGCTGTCTTTATTTTGTTTTCTCAGGTAGCAGCTTCAGTTTTGAACACAATTGTTTGTAAGTTTCTTTTCAGATATGAAAATGAGCATTTTGGAAATCAGGAAAGCTCACCCATTATCTTATTACATCAGCATCTCTGTCAAAACCTAAATCTGAAGATTTTTTTTCTACACGGGGAGGCTGAGATGGATATTGCATAATTGTTACTGTAAAGTATTGTAGTTCTCTTAATGTTCAACATATACTACTGGACTTGAAGATATAAATGAAGAGACTCATATTCAGGGAGAAGCCATTCAATTATTTCTTTTAAATTTCTCATTTTCTGCTCCATTGAAAGTTATATTATGAATATAAAGAAGACAGCAATTTTTTTATCCAGATGAAGTCTTAGTATTTCTCTAGTTTTAATGGCATAATCAGTGATTGATCTTTGCTGTTCTTTGGCTGTTGAGGACAAATAGAGGGTGCTTCTGAATTAAATGCATCTTTAATGGCTTCTGGGAAGGCCTGAGATGGAAGTTTAAATAATTACTAACATGTTTTATTGACAATGGCACTGAAACATCTCACTTTGCAGAATCTTCTAACTTATCAATGCTTTGCTCTTTCACTTCAATAGCTAAAACTTCATTCAGTAGTTCTCTTGATCTACCAGACAGACAAGAACTATTTTTCTTTGAGAAACAATGGTCTCTTATCTCCACTGTGTGTTCCTTTTGGCTATTTTACTACCCAAGTCATCAATAGTTGTTTTGTAAAAATTCCACTGATTTTAGGTGAGTTGTTAGTTGTAGTAATGACCAAGTGCTAACTAGCTGCTTGTGATATTGATCAGCAGTTTTCATTTTTAATAATTTTGAGTGAAAAATTATAAATTGGGATATTCAATTTTGTGAAGACTGTAACACAAGTGAGTTAGCGAGCTTTATGTAGAACCATGTTACAGAAGACTTTCTTATCTTGCAAAGCAACTCAGCAGTTTTATCTCTCCAACAGCTGCTCACAGTTCTTGGAATCTTCTTGAGTCTTTTCAGTTTCAGTTCCATTTATTTGCCATATTCTTTCCTCCAGTCACAAGTTACACCTGTTTCACTTGTTTCGAGGCTCCAGGCTCATAATTTTTATTCTGTTTCTCAACCAGAACAAGAAAAATATTAGTGGGAGGTGTTCCCTTTAAAAATTCAACGTTCGATTTTAAATTTAAAAACTTCCAATGTACAAAATAAAAAAAACCCTAGAGCCCAGCCAGGTCTCATGCATCTTGGGTTGGTAATGGCTAAGAACTGAAAATTGAGTCATAATGCCAATGTGGTAGCATGAACATCAGTAGGATTAGATTCCAAATATAGTTTGATCTTACCCTATATATTGATAGCAACTGCAAAATATTAACTAGCATGCTGCTAAAGTATTCTGTAGACTGGTATATCACTGTATTGGGTGATAGTTCATTTGAGACAGAGCTCATACGGAAAAATAAATTCACTGTTTGGAAACCTTAAAACTGACATAATGTATGTAGAGTGCATAACTCAGAATTCACCATGACTGCATACATTCATAAACCTGAAGGTATAGTTGTGCATTGGAAAAATAAATCTGAGAAAAGGAAAATTAAACTTTAAACAGTACTTTTAAACAACAAATTTTCAGTGGAATTTAGACTGATTTGACATTTCTAGCTACAGATTACTGGAAGATTGTTATTGCCTGTGAATAACAATGTTCAATCAAATTGTTAAATTGAACTAATTGAAGTTCAGTATTTTACTGAATTTATTCAGTTTGTCTTTAAATAAAGGATCAGAAATAAGTGCTCATGAGTTGGTCCAGAAGAGAAAGTGGCTAATAAATAGAAATTATTTTATGCGGGTTCAGTGTGTCTAGCACTAAATGGTATTCTACCTTGATTTGTCAATAAAGTTACGTTGTACACAGGAGTGACCTTTATGCACGTTCTTTAGTGAAAGCTTGATCTAATGAATTACTGCTTAATGTTTGAAGATAAATTAGCTGGAAAAAAAGTTTGCAAATGTGACTAATTTGAGGAAGAGAATGAAGAGTTATTTTTTTATGATCTTGTTAGATAACTTTTTTAAACTATCATATTTGCAGAAGTATGAACTATTCAGATCTTCTAGTACATATGATTACTGAATGCCAGTTTTTCCTAAATACTAAACAAAAATTTAGTTTATAAATAATACTAAAACATACAGCTAAGTTGTATCTTTGTCTGAAATGCAAATTCACAATGTTTTTTCTTAATTACAGTATTGTAAGTATTCAGTTTATGTGCAAAAGTCAATTAGAACTTGCCAAGTACTATCTGAGATTTAGTGTTGTCTGATTTTATTGTTAAATTTTAAGGTATCGATACTGCTACTTCAGAAGCAGCAGCATGATCTGACTGTAGCTCCAGTATGTACCTGTTGGACTTATATATCCTAAACTCTTTTCACTAAAATGTATTTTTTACTATGTTTTCCATTTTCTCACAAAATGTGAGAGAAGGTGTGTACATTTCCTGGTGTAGAAAGTACAAGCTGAGGCACATGAGATGTTATTTCATTTTGGAGCAGGGAATAAGGTCTTCAGTGCTACAGCAGGTGCTAAAGAGAGACAGGACCATTCTTCCAGTTAGGAATTCCTTTTGTTCAAGTGGCCTCATTGACTTCATTAAAAAAATATTCAGAAGGATTTGCGTTTAAAAAGTCTGGCAGATTCACGCAGAATTAATTTTTCCAAAGGTAAGGGTAATTAAGAATACATACCCGTGTATGAGAGAGGAGCCGACATAATCCAAACAAACAGCCATTCCTCCTGTCTCAACGTAAGGCTCATGTCCTCATCTGCTTTTCATCGCTGTTGCAGAGTGCAAGACAATCAGGGTTGTTCCTGGCAGCTGTACAGTTTGCCTGTGCAGGTCATGGGGGGGAGGACGGGGAGATTTGCCTGTTCTGTTCTTCCTTTTCTATCTATTTATATGGTAGAAAGGGAGGAATGAGTAGACGGGATGTTTCTTTCTGCCCTCGTGGTGTTTACACCAGCACAGTTCTTTTGCCTTGAGCCAGGCTTGCTAACCCAAGTGTACACCTGTTTTATAGAAATTCTGGTTTTATTGAACAAAAAGTGCTGTTTTACTCTCCAGAGTTAGAACTCAGTTCGTTAAAACTCAGAATTAGATTACGGTTTACTGAATATCAAAGCTGGTTGTTGGTCTGTTCCTACAGCAAAGTACTTAAGCATTGACCCAGGTGCAGGACTCTTAAGCCATTATTTAGACCCAAATTGAATTTCTATATTTTATTAGGCCTCCACTATTAAATTTATAATAGACAAATTTACAATACTGCTTCATACGTGGCTTATTGGGTATTTATGTTGAGGTGGCTGAGATGGAACTCTCTAGGATTTTTTTCATATTATGTAAGACTTTTATTGTTGCTTCAGGCATATCAGAGGTGACAAATTACCTGATTTTTTTTTTTTTTCCTCCCACAGGTTGTTCTTTTATGGACTTTCTTTTTTGCCAGTAAATTTCTGTAAACAACTGATGGTTCAAAGCTTTAGCATACTTTTTACCCCCTTTTTGATTTAAATCTCCCTTGGACTACTGTTCTAAACTGTGGTATATTTTTATGTTTTGAAGTTAAATTGCACAGGTATTAGCTTCTACTATATTTTTACTTAGTACTGGGCACACATTAGTCCCCATAGTATGCATACAAATAGCTGTTAAATGGTGAAAGTTTTTATAGCGATTTGGTGGCTAACTTTATAACTAGAGATGTTCTTTTAAAAAATTTTATTGATGCATAAAAGTGCGTGTTGTCTCTAATTGCAGGTTGATGCAACTGAGACTGAACCAAAGAGCTTTATCTTTATGAGTGAAGATGCATTAACAAATCCTGACAAGCTACTGGCCCTAATTCATGGTAATGGCGTTGTCAGAGCAGGTCAGTGGGCTAGGAGACTTATAATTAATGAAGATCTGGACAGTGGCACGCAGATACCATATATAAAGAGAGCTATTGAGGTAAGTGAAAGTGCGTGTATGTACAATTGTGTGTGCATATGCATGTGTGTACCTGTATATGAAGAGCTCTAAATCTGTGATGTTTTAATTTGTTAAACATCATTCAGTATTTCCTTATATGATCATTTTGTTTATGATGGGAATACTTGCTTGGTTTTTTTCAGAACTTTTTTCAAATGGAACCAAGTTTCTCTCTTACATTAAAAAAAATTCTAGTTGTATGTCATGTCGTTGCGGCAGCACTGCCATGTAGTTTAATATGGCAGCTAACGTGACAAGAGCCCTTAGCAGGCGATGAGATGCAATAGAAGGCACTACAGAAATTTGTTATTATTTGAAGTGTTTTCTTTTACATTTCATTAAATTTGTACGTATTTTCACTCAACGTCTGTTGCAATCTCATGATAACATGAGCTTTCATGATAACAGCAGGCTCTTTTGCTAGGCTTGTACTGAATTTATTAGAGGCACAGCCTTTTTCAGTTTTGCGCTGAATACTGATTCATTCTGATTCACCTATCAATACTTGACAGTAAAAAACATTTACATTTTATGGACACTGTTTTGTTACATTTACATCTATGTGAGAGACAATGCACGATTTGTGTAATGTTTTTAACATTGGAACTTTGTAGGTGTAATTCATCTCTTGCATGCAGCTACCTACATGAAACTTCCTGTAGTAAACATTAGAAAAGCCTATTTAAAAGTCACTATTTCTGTTAGATTTACCAAGTTAAGGTAAAGTTCCACTCTAAATATCAGTGTTGTCACTGTGATTGTACTCGTTTTGCTAAATGAAGTTGAATTTGCTGCAGCTAGGTTTAAAGTATTCAATATAGAAAATGGTTCTCTTCAAACATGTTTTCTTTTCTTTTTTTTTGTATAAAACATATGAAAAGATTGAGCCATGAAGTTATTTTTGTTTTGTATAATCCACTAACAAAGCACCAGACTACACTTTGTGTGGAAAAGAAACCTAAACTTGTGAAAGTGATGCTTGCCTTCTTTTAACATAAAGTTTTTGTTCATTTCAAATCAAGACTCAGTGGCAGAACAAAAAGTACTTTAGGATTATTGAATGTAATATAGGTGTATGGTAGGTCCAGTGTAGGAGGTTAATTTCTAGACTGCAAGTTCCAAAACCTTTCCCAAGAAACCCGAAGAGCTGTAGCTACTTAAATTTTCGTAGGAATGCTTACATATCTGCATTTTCGTTCTTTCCTAGAGATGCTGCTCTCTGGGCTAACATGAGAGGCTGAGCATTTAAGACTGGGATACTATCCCTAAATTAACAGATAATCTTTAAGAGATGTCTAGTGGAGGAGAGTTACAGTTCCTTTCCCTGTTTTGTTATTTTTATTTTATTTAATGATTGTGCCAGTGTGACAGAGATCAGATCTCTTCCCTCAAATGGTTATTATGCTTAAAAATAGATGATGTATTTCTGCTTTTTGAATGCTTCTTCAAAAAACACAGGAAAAAATCCCAAAGAGTTTGATGAGAAAAATTACTTTTAAAAAATTTAATCATTTGATCACATTGGGACATCAGACTTTGTGCTCTTATCTTTTGACTGACTTCTTTCTTAGCATGGTTTTTAAATTCGTAGGTCTCTTTAGCTGAGTAATTCCAGCTACTGTAAAAGCCACTCTCCCTTTTTGTGCATCTTAAAATTCTGGTAAATGTACTGCATGTTTAGAACACATACTATTTGCAATTTATTTTTTTTTTAAGGCAAAATGAAGATTAGATCATATTCAATTGTATTATAATAATGTATACTATTTTTTGTATCCTGTAGTCACTGTAGTGGGAATTGGGTGTCTATCTGGTTAGATAAGGCAGTACTTTATGGAAGTTGAACCACACTGAACGTATATGAAATCATTATGTTATGACTGAAAAGAGAATATAGATAGCAACATGCTGATATCATGTCTACTTCATGTACAGATCATATAGATTTCTCTTCCAAATACAGGAAATTATGGTAGAGTGAGTATAAGGACTCCAATTTTAGTTAATAATAATAAAAATTGCATCCTTTTCTGGTTTTTCTGGTATTCAGTGCTCTAGTTGATTTAGACACTTCTGTCTGTTATGAAATGAAAATAACTGACCTACACAGTAAATGGCCTGAATGGAAATTATGATAACTCCTCATGCAATGTTGCTGGTTCGAATTAAGGAATTATTTTCCTTGATCTTCCACTGTTTCTGTTAAGAAGAGGTCTCATCCTTGAATGAAACCAGCAGACATTATCAAAGTATAAGATTACAGTGCTGATGACAGGAGATCATGGATTTTTAATTTTTTTTTATTTTAATAAACTGTGTGAAGTGTGTAATAGTATCTAGGATTTGAAAATTCCACTGATGTGGTGTGAGTGTGAAACATATGCAGGTAGCTTAAAACATTTGCTGGAGAGTAGGTTTTCACTTAAAAAAAAATATATTGTGAAAGTAGTGCTTAAATGTCTTTTGTGCAGAAACTAGTCCAGAAATATCACCTCTGCGTTCCTGAAAACAAAACAAGACAAACAAACAAAAAAACCCCCTCTAGGTAGGTCAAACCTGTATCTTTTTATCTACTGCTTTTCTCTGTGGAGAGTGACGAGACTACCACAAGCAAGTTTCATTTCATTTCTTGGAAAAACTGAAAACAGGGAAGCAAAAGCTGAAGTTACCAGTGAGCAGTGGATTGAGCAGGATGAACTGATACTGCTCTCCTAACCAGGAAGTTAAGGAAAGAAAAGAGACTATTTCTCTCTGGTACAACACTTTCAAGAAAAAAATGAAAAACTTTTCTCTTAAAGCATGTATGGAATAGGGGAGCAATATAAAGGCTTAAAATTTATCCTCCTGCTAGTGGTTTGGGGCTGATACACATTGGAAAGAAAAGATCCAAGGAGAAGTATCCTGGTGGAATTCAAGTAGCTAGAAGTGTGGTTTTTCTTTTCATCTGGGTGGTTCCTTTAGGTAATATTTCTATCTTCTATATCAAATTCTGTTGTGTAGGTTAAATCTTTTGTGTAATAGGTGTTGGGAATAGTTTACAAGGTTTTATGTGAAGAGGTAACATTAATGCATTAATTCAGAAATTCAAGCTTGATCATGTAAAAGAGATTCTGAAATATGAAAGAAGAGAACAAGTGTCAAGGTAGAGAACAGATTGTAGGAAAAGGAGAAGGGAGAAAAGTGTATAGAATGTGAGAGACAGATATGTGTAAATACATTAAAAGACTGTAGGAAAAGATCTACTTTAGAAAAACAAGTATAAAAAAAGGCAAATGTGATAATATAAAGCAGTAAAGCTGTAAGAAAGGCTTAATTAAAATTATAATACATACTATAAAGATATTTAAAACAAAAATGATAAAAAGATAAATAAAAAGATAAATACGTTACAAAATAAATAGTGCATAGGTTTGTTGTTTTGTTAAAACAGAATTTTTTCTACTGAAACTTTCTGCAGTGGGAGATACTGATTTTTGACAGAAGCAGTCATCTGACGTGTGAGAGAGTTCATGTCCCTCCTCTGGGAATGAGGGACTATTCCACTTTTAATGGTAATACCACAGTGAAGTGATTCAGGGTTTGGTTTTCCTTGCCTTTTTTTTTTTTAATAAATAAATGCAAATTATAT